AATGCTTTTATGAGGGGGGAATACAAGTTGAATACTTATAGTTATTATATCAATCACATGTGATTAATAACTACCAAACCAATGATTTTATCACTGTTTAAATTGTTTATCAAACTGCTTTACTTCAAAATGTTTTACAAACTCTTTTACTTATCAAATACTTTTATTTAAACTTTATTATACTTCTTATAAATTACATGTCCATGTATGCATAGATATATAAGAAATGTTTAAAAGGCTTAGGAAGGCCATCCGCCCTATTTCCTTTTCCTCGATTTGGATGTGGTCTGGTGGGATGTCGGGTAGCCGTCCGAGGGTCATTTCAATATTAATTACATATCATATGTGCATATATTGACATAAAATACTTCCATATTCATGCGTATCAGTTACATCTTTAGTAAGTTACCATCGGTGTAACGCAGGATTACTCTTCCACTATTGCTAGATCAATGAGTCAGTTCATTCATGAGTCAATGCTTATTACTACGAGAACATATACATTACATTACTATGGGTACATATACAACTATACTAGAAAGAGAACATATACGACTATACTAAGGAAGAGAACATATACAACGATACTAGAACAAGAACAATACATATACATATACATACATATACTTTCATAAATGTGATCCACTGTATCGGTGCATGCCTTAATTGTCATGGCCTGAGTTGTAACCAGAATCTCTTGGAGGGAGAGCGTGAGTTTACGTATAGATCTATACTGGATTGACTATCCTACACCTTGTTGCTAGCTACAGCCGGACCTGCAGGTCTGCGGGTGCCACACGTCATACCTTTTTATGACCTACATTTGTCGTTGATACTCAGTTGATAGTTTGGTACAATTAAATCACATAATACCTTAATATAAATCCGGTTTAAGGTAGTTAGTATAGCAGTAGTTCCCATAACACAACACTACAGTACTACATTAATTTACCCATTATATACATTTAGTGATTATTCCACTTAAATATTCATGTATAAACTATATTCTGTTAATGATAGTTACACTTGGGAAATTACACACTTTTACAACAAACGAGTGTACAAAACAGTTAAGCCTTGGTAAAAGGCTACTTTAATAGAAAATATAGGTTTTCTGATAGATTCAGACTTTTACAAACACTTACAAACATTTACATACATTTTACAAACTTACACTTGAGACATATTCAAACGTTTTGATAACAAACACCAACACTAAAATACTTATGAACTCACCAGCTTAATGCTGATAAACTCTTTCAAAATAACTTGTATTCTCAGGTCATCAGTAGACAGGTACCGAGGTCAGCTTTTGAGAAGATGGAGCGCATCCAAGACTCATCTTATTATTTTTTATTTACATTATTTTTGGTGTCAATAACTGTACAGAACACGCCTGTATTAAAATTTTATATTTAATGCAATGGATGATGTTGTTTTCTTATTTACATTCACTGTGTTGTGATACTTTACATGACGTCCTCCGCCCCAGAACGTTTCCGCCGTTCTCGGTTTTGGGGTGTGACATAGGAATGGGTTTTATATGCGTTCTTCTTTTTATGCTATTTAAGTGAATACTTGAACTAAAACCAATGATAAACCAACAAATGGATTTAATTTGATCATTTTTAGGTTATTGGGCCTTAGTGACCCATTTTTATGTGTGAGAGGTCCTGTATATGTTTATTGGGCCTCATTGACCCATTAACATGTGCGACAGACCTTGGATACTATTTGTGTGCCATTTGGGCCTGTAAATACTTTACATGTGAAACGGGCCCTAGTTGTCCTTTCATATATATTTCGGGTCCATGTTATATAATCTCATTCCATTTGGGTCTTGAAATGATTTACATGTTTAGCGATGCCTTAGTGGTTCACTTACATGGATCATTGGTCCTGCAATGAGTTTATACCTTTTTCTTCGCGTAAATTCGATTAAGGATCTAGCGAGTTTTTGTCGGTTGGCACCTATTAAGTGTACGATCGTAGTCTGTAGTTATAACCAGAGTCTCTTGGAGGGAGAACGGGGATTTGTGTATAGATCTATACGGGGTTGACACCCTACACCTCAGTTGTTCGCTACAGTTAGGCTAACTCAGTCTAGGGTGACGAAAACCTTATAATCAAAGTCAAAACTGGCGTCCAACAACGCCAAGATAGGTGAAATTGTCATTATTTAGTATGGTTATGACGACTCGCTTAGAGGAATTAACGTTATGAAGTTTACGGAAGACCTTTTTTTTAGGCAACATTGGGTCGTCTTGGAACATTCTCTTTATATGCTCTTACATTCTCTCTACATTCTCTTTACCTTTTTTGTCAAATAAACAATAGCATACATGCATTAATACAAGATCTAACACAAAACACACTAAAGAGTTTTTCAGAAAATATCGGATTTTCTGGTGGTTTTCAAAGTTATACAAATCATTTTCACAAACATGCTTATGAACTCACCGACATTTTTATGTTGACCGTTTTCAAAATAACTTGTATTCTCAGGAAATCGTTGAAGCAGGATGAACGAAACAAACTAATGGATATTGCGTTATATTTTTGTTTCATCATACTCTTACTATTTTGGCATGTAATATTCAAATACAATATTCAATGTAAACAATGAATGTTGTTATATTACATGTGTGATGATGATGATGTTATGTTTCAATTATATTCACTGTAATGATATTTCAAGATGAAGTCACGCGCAAGCCCCCGGACGTTTCCGCCGTCTGGTTCGGGGGTGTGACAATAGAGTTCTTTGTTGATTTTGTTTTGACTTCATTTTCATTTATTTTTTCGCTTAGTTGCTCGTTGTGCACGATATATTAGTTTTTTTATGCTAACATAATAAGGTATATAAAAAATAGGACCCTTAAATTTTAGAGGACCCAAACCATTGCTCAAACCGTCTTACCATTGGCACGACCCTCAATGGATCAACCCATCTAATAAAGCCAAACATTAAGTCGCTCTTAATTCGAAAACATGGTCGGTTGTTCTTAGATAAAAACTCAAAAGTTTAGTAGAACAAGAACAACATAATGATTTCATACTTGGTAGTGGACTTTATTGTTAGTCTTATTCTTGTTGTTTAGGCTCTTTAGTTGTTCAAGCTCATTCGTGTATTATGTGGCCTTTTGTATTGTTTTACTATTTATATTGTTTAATGAATGTGGCCTATTGTATTGTCAAGAATGCATTCTTACATGGTAATGTTGAAGAAACTATGTACATGAATCAACTTCCCGTTTTAAAGATCCTATCAAACCGAATCATGTGTGTCTCTTGCAACGTTCTCTTTATGGTCTCAAACAAGCACCTCAGGTATGGTTTCACAGATTTGCTATGTTCATCGCTTGCATGGGTTTTGTTCACAGTCGCTCAGACTGTTTGTTGTTTATATATCAACATGATTCTCAGATTTCTTATCTACTTTTTCTATGTAGATGATATTATTTTTACAGGTTCATCTCAAACTCTTATCTCACAGATCATCGCCACTTTAAGTGTTGAGTTTTCTATGTTTGACCTGGGGGATCTTCATTATTTTCTGGGTATTTCTGCCATTCGTGACTCTAAGGATTTGTTTTTTGTCTCAACAAAAGTATGCTTCATAAATTCTTGACCGAGCTAGCATGTTGCACTATAAACTTGCCACCACACCTACAAACTTATCCACCAAACTCGATGGTACAGTACCTAGAGTGCAAGACCCAACTTCATAGCGCAGTCTTGCTGGAGCTCTCCAGTATCTTACCTTTACTCGTGCGAATCTTACCTATGCAATTCAACAATTATGTTTATTTATGCATGATCCTAAGGAACCTCATTTAGCTGCCCTTAAGAGAGTTTTGCGCTACATTCGAGGTACAACATCTTATGGTCTTCAACCGTACTCCCACTCATCCACGGATCTTACTGCCTACTCTGATGCAGACTGGGCTAGTTACCCTTCTACCAAATATTCTACCTTTGGATACTGTGTGTTTCTCGGTAACAACTTACTATCTTGGTCCTCGAAACGTTAAGGGACCACCTCCTGATCGAGTGCTGAAGTTGAATATAGAGGTGTTGTTAATACTGTTTGTTGAAAACTGCTGGTTATGCAATCTCCTTCGCGAGTTGTCTCATTCTCCTCAAAAGGCTACTATTGTTTATTGTGACAACACCAGCGTTGTTTATCTTCCTACCAACCCCGTTCAACATGAACAAACCAAGCATATCGATATTGATATACGTTTTGTTCAAGACCAAGTTGTTTTGGGTCAAGTTCGGGTCTTGCATGTTCCATCTTCGGCTCAATATGCAGATATTTTTACTAAAAGCCTGCCTTATCCATTTTTTCTTGATTTACATAACAGTTTCAACGTTCAATTCCTTACCATTCACACTGCCGGGGGGGGGGGGGGACTGTTAGTGGATTTTATTATTAGTCTTATTCTTGTTGTTTAACCTCTTTAATTATTCAGGCCCGTTCGTGTGTTATGTAGCCTTTTGTATTGTTTTCCTGTTTATAGTGTTTAATGAATGAAAGAAGGGTTACGGGAAAATAGTGTGATTAAATACTTACATTCTTATACCGAAATACCATCTTGTTTGTACCATATGTCTGTCCTCAATGACTAAAATGTTAAAGGGTTAGATTTAGGGACCAAATATATATATATATATATATATATATATATATATATATATATATATATATATATATATATATATATATATATATATATATATATATATATATATTTGAACCGGCAAATCTAATCTACTTCTAAACTAACAACACCTATTCCACCTATATCCACAACGAAACTTGAACCCTCAACCTCAAAGAGGGATTAGTACTTTACTCAACAAATTACAATTTTCCAATTTAATGAATATGAGTTTACCTACATTGCAAGTGCACGACTATTTTAAAATAGATAAAACTTAGAGGGGTATATAGTAAGTAATATAAACTACAAGGGAGTAACTTAAAACTGATCGGACTTTATATACAGCTAGGGTTTTGGCTCGCGCACCCTACCAGTTCCTTCGTCTCTGTAATCTCTTCATAGCAGCAGCTGCAGGTATATCTCTCGATCTCAAACTGATTGAATATATTATGAATTGATGCGATGACATTTGGTATTCTTGCTTAGTTGTTCGTTAATCTGAACAGATATTTTGTTTAATTTTGGATACTACTACCCTGTAAATCTATATGTTTGATAGGAAACATGTGTAGAGGTGAAGAAAATCTAGATTGTTTTAATTTCGATTTTTACACTAATTCGAAAATCAAGGAAAAACTTTCATTCGATTAGTCGTTTTACATTCCTTTTAAGTAAATTACTGGTCATTTTTGCATTCACCGAACGCTTGGTAGGCGACGTTAAAATTTTAAAGACGTTGAACGTTTTAGGTTTTCTTTATGGGAATAGCGTGGCTTAGCTCAGACGGTAGGAATTGAGGCTGATGTATAACGCTTCTGATCGGCTTTCTTTTCCTCATTATCAAATATGTTTTCATTTTTTATTTGACATTCTACTTCAGTTGATTTTCATGAATATGTTTGATGTTCTACTTCAATTGATTTTCATGAATGTGATATGGGATTGGTTGTGTTTATAATATCTCTGACTTAGCTTTTATTTTGAAACAGTTTGACAGAAGATTCAATCAAACAGAACAAAATGGCAGGGTATGATAAGATGCTACCAATTCTTCTTTTTCTTGAGAACAAGATATCAATCTGTTTTTCCATATGATTATATTCCATCAATGAAGATTGTACAGTTTTAAAAGTTTTTTGCTGAAATGATATTACTTTTTGCAGTGAAGAGGCTGTTGTGGTACCAGTGGAGGCACCTGCAGCCCCAGCAGCAGCGCTTGGTGAGCCAATGGACATCATGACAGCTTTGCAGCTTGTTCTAAGAAAGTCACTTGCTCATGGAGGCCTTGTGAGGGGTCTTCATGAGGCTGCAAAAGTTATTGAAAAACATGCTGCTCTTCTTTGTGTGTTGGCAGAGGATTGTAATCAGCCTGACTATCAGAAATTGGTCAAAGCACTTTGTGCTGACCACAATGTCAGCTTAGTAACTGTTCCAGCTGCAAAGACTCTTGGCGAGTGGGCTGGTGTAAGTCTTTTTACCACTTATTTCTTTCTATTTGAAAGGGCATTTTGGTCTTTTTATGCTACAGATGGTGTAAGGTTTTTTTTTATTTATTTATTTATCTGCAGTTGTGCAAGATTGATTCGGAAGGAAAGGCAAGAAAGGTTGTGGGCTGTTCATGCCTTGTTGTGAGGGTATGTTTACACATTTATTTGGAAGATATGTTGTAAATCAATGGGATTTTGCTTTATTGCTTTGTGAATTTATATTTTTTTGAATGTTTTTTTTTTTCAGGATTATGGTGAGGAATCTGAAGGACTCCACATTGTTCAGGAGTATGTGAAATCCCACTAAGTATTTGAGAATGGATCGAAACTAGTTGGTGGGAAATCCAAAACTTTGTTTTATTTTTCCGACTTTTGTCTGTTTGGAACTTCGTTTTAGAAAATTTTGAATGGTTTTATAAACATTAGATTCCAACTATCCAGAGTTTCAAATTTTAGTTTTTGCTCTATTTATGTGACGCTGCTTGTTGATTCATGGATTAAGAAATGGCTTCTTTTTTAACCAAAAAAAAAAATTGAAATTTTGTTTAATTAACTAATGTGTAAGCTAATGCAATGTTGAAAATAAATCGATCAGATTTATAATTTTTTAGATATAGGACTAAAAATAAATATACTATAAACGGTTTGTCATTTTAATATAGATATGTATATGTATTAATGGCCACATAATATGGAATGCATGGTTCTGATAAATGTTATGTTGTGTTCCGGCATCTATTTTCTCAAACAAATTTAACGACAATCAATGCTCAAATTTGTGTAGATACTTTACTCTCGCCACTTATATGGGCAATAAATTGTATTTTTTATTATCTATAAAATGTTTTACATTTTTTTTCCCTATAAGGTCGATGATGTGGATGCGGCTGGCATCCGAAATGGATGGCATTGCTTGCGGCAAACATTGTTTCCATTTACAGTCATTTTCGAATGGCAATGTTGGGCTGCATTTTTGTGTGGCTCAAATTTGAACAGCAATGTTCTGTTATATTCCGCCCAACGGTGATATTAGACATTTATATAAACATTTATTTCATCTTTTTTAATTATAAATATTTAAACCACCACTACATTTTTATACCAATCTCATCCGAACTCTTTCAAATTTCTCTCATTTCTCCCACTTTGTACAAACCAAACTCACAAGAAAAATGTTGGATCCATCTTGAAGAAATCGTTGGTTTTAACCTACATTTGCTGATGTTCAAACACAACATGCTAACCCACATATTTATAGATTTTCTAAAATGCTTGGAAGTTTAGATTGTCCTAATTGAGAGTGGGAAATTTGACCCTACAATTCATGGTTTTTAATTTTTATTTATATTTTTTAATTTTAATGTTTTTTTTTTTTAATTAAATTTTTAATGCTATGATCTTTATTATTTATTTATTTTTAATTATTATTATTATTAATTGATGAAATGTTTTTCTTTGAAATGCAAACGTTGGAGGCATTGTTAGGCATGTCACCATTATATATGGATTGTTAGACATTGAATGGTGGCATCCTACATATGACACCAATTGTTGGAGACATTGTTAGGCACCACACCCTTTTTAGCCTAATAGCTAGTAATTTTTATGCATAATAAGAACGCTTTTGGCTGTGTAAACCTTATATATTACCTATTATTGTATTTGTTATATTTATGAATGTATGTAAATATGTTGATTTCATACGTTGCAATTAATTATTAATGGATAAAGAGTACATATTTGATTTAATAAAAAGAACAAAATACTTTATTATTTCGCACAACTTGCCTATTTCAAACAGGGAAAAACTATGACAGTTGCCAAAGGGAAATACACGTGACAATATAATTTTTGGTATATGTTGTGATGAATCCGATTATGTTTGGTTGACTGGGGATTTTTTTTCTTCATAAAAATAACTAAATAGCTACATTTCCAAAATAATAATTGAAGATTTAGCAAAAAAATACGCACTAGCAATATACTTATGATGAGTTTCAACACATTTCCATATTATCTAGATATATTTTGATTTTACCCAGATTGTTAATAAGGAGATTCAACATTTTAACTAGTGTTGTGTATATAATCAGCTTACAAAGTATGCCCTGAAACAAGCTAAAAAATTCATGAAAAAAAAAAAGAGGGGAAAACTACATGGTCGCTTTGCTTTCAGTTGTTGGGAGGTATATGCCTTCTGCAGCCAACCAAACATTATCAGCTCGTTTCTCCCTTACACCACAAACCTACAAAAAAGCAATGTTATTTATTTTTTATTTTTTCCATAGATAGATGAAATTTAAAAAACAACGGCATACTTGAAAAAATAGAAGATTAAAAAAAAAAATACAGATAACTTTTTCATTAGCTTTATTTATCCGTTAAGTCATTCTTTCTGTATTAATTTTAAGTGATAAATAAAAATATTAATTTAAGTGATAAATAAAAAGATAAATTTAGTTTCATAACAGCAATATAATTGATTACCTCTTGCTGACCACCAGCAATGCGACTGTATTTCTTATTATGGCTGTGTAGAAATCCGTTTGTGTCTACATGGAGAAGCCTTATTCTTTGATCCTGTCTCCATGTTTTCCCGCTTCCCTCAATTTCAACTCTTCACAAAACAAACAAAACATTTTAACTTTTTTTTTTTGTATAGTTCACAGCATAAATTTAACTCGATCTCACCTCCAATAATCTCCTGTATCTGAATTACCATCATCTCCAAAACAACTCACCTACACAAAACCTCAATTACTTAAGTTGCAGTTATTTAACATGATAATAAGAAGAAAAAAAAAATCTAATCCGATCCACTAACCTCTAGATTGCCAGATATTGGTGAAGCATGTAAATGACTATGAAGCCACTTCCTAGTTTTCAAGTGTTGCAACCGAATGATGGTTCCGGTTTTTATAGTGTCCCCCAGTTTCACAGATGTATCTGGTTCAGGTCTAACAATCTAAACAATATTTATATAAACCAAAGAATCAGAATAAGGAATTGAAAATTGAAATGAAATCAAACATATAAAATAGATATGAAAACATCCATCAACATACCCAATAGCTATTGGCATCATCTACATTTGGAAAACCAGTCACAGATTGCTGTCCACTGCCAGATCCATATGGCACATCATGTGAGTGTAGTCTGAACTTTGTCTTTTCATGCATCAACTTGATCACTGACCCATAAGTAATCTATCATATATTCACTTCCAAAAAATCAGCCTGATTGCAAATATATTATATATTACTTATGTTCCAATAATAAGCATCAAAATCTTGCAAGATTGCTTTGATGACTGCATCAATTGAAAAGATATAGAAAGCATGCTTTCAACCATTGTAACTGGAGGGCTATTGTTTTGTTGGTGATTCATCTTAAACTGCTATGCAATATCCAGTTATTCCATCTTAGATACTGTCATCTTCTAAAGTTCTTAATGTACCTGAATCAGTTTTTGAACCTAAAGTTGGTCCATTTGATTGACCCTAAAAGGTCATATTGTTAATCATTTTTCTTCTTTCCTATGAACAGTGTACATTCGCCTACAGATTGACTGATACCCACGCAAACAAGTGTTACTAAATTGCCTAACAACAATAATATCTGGATTAACAATTAAATTCGATACACGAATGAGAAAAAGTCACTTAAATTCTGAGGCCAAACCTGTTGCTTCCTCAATTTGAGATTGATATTAGATTATGTTACAATTTTTTGGTTTATCCCAACATTCTTTCGATTTAGTTAATAAAGGCCGGATGTAGTTAGCATCTTCCTCAAAATTTCAGGATCCATGTCAATTTTGAACCTGAAGTTAGTCTTCGGGGAAAATTTTCAAACAAGTGTGATTATAGGAACCAAGTAAAGCAGGAAACATATACAACCTCATGTTATCAATTTGTAATTAGATCATAAATAAGCTAATTACCTCGACGCCTTCAGAAGTAGCAGCATAGACAGAAGATGAGGCATAATCTGAGTCTAGAGTTAGGACGAGAAAGAGAGCGAGACCGAAGAAAGAAAATGCCATTACGAGTAGAAGTAGGATGAACCAAGTTCGTTGCCAAATCGGTAAGTCAAGATCGGATTCAGAAGAAAACGACCGGCCTAGCGTTTCTTTGTAGATGATCTGCGTAGGTTCCGATGAACTAGAGGATGCGGTTCTTCTTCGCGAAAGATTGTTCCTGCTCTGTTGCTGTTGCCCTGACGGTGAAGGAGAAGCCACGACTGTCGGTTTTTCTCAGGTCGGGGCTTGCGGCCGGGGATCCAAAATGCCGATGGAGAATACACCGGTCGTTAGAGAGAACGTATCGTATGCTCTTGCTTGCTTTGTGATGTCTTGGGAGAACATATAGAAGTCTTGTGGTTTTTGACTATGGATTCTTCAATGGCGGTACCACGTAGGTTACAGTCGTTCAACCAATGGCACCGTTCCATGTCAGATTTAAAGCCACTTGGGACTGGGTGATCGGATCATTTGGAGGGCAGTTTCGTCTTTTAAATGCACAAATTACATCCGAACCTCTATTTTAGATTAAATTATACGAATAATCCATTTGGTTCAGGGTATTCTCCAAGTTTGGTCCTTTAACATTTTTTTAAAAACACCAACAGTCTCGGATATGTTTTTTTTGTGTTATTCATACGTAAAGAAACTATTTTTTCTCTACTAATTCTTTTTTAATATTTTTATTTATTGATTGTTAAAATTAAAATGGTGTCACATCATTCCTCTTTCTTTCTTCCTTACTCACCCTTCTTTTTTCGTTAGCCTTTCCAACTCCGACGATTTTATAAAACCTTCGATAATCACCATCGAATGTTCAGGGTTTGCTATCGGAGAAACTATGTACCAATATAATATATGTTTTGTTATTTCAAACTCGAGCTAGTTATCAACAGTTAAATTAAGTTTTTTTAATAAAAAACATCCTATATATATATATATATATATATATATATATATATATATATATTCCGTTTTAAACCTTTTTTAAGAATAAACTCAACTTTAACATATTCTTTTTTATTTTATTAAGACAAAACTGCACAAATGGTCTCTGTGGTTTGCTCAAAATTGCCACTTTGGTCCAAAAAAGTTTTGACTAGCACCACAGGTCTAAAGTTTTCATTTTGTTGCGAGTTTGGTCCAATTTGATTTAAAAATATTTAAAATGATGGATTTACCCTTGTTATTTTCTTTTTCTATTTTTTATTTATTTAAATGTTTTTTCTTATTAAAAGAAAAATAAAAAAGAATCTCTTTATCTTTCTCTCTCTCTCTCTCTCTCTCTCTCTCTCTTTCTCGTTTTTCTTTCATGCGTCGAGAAACCCAAAACAGAGACCGGAGGCTGCTGCCTCCGATCAAGCTATCCAACCTCTCCCTCGTGTGTCGACTGGCGAACCCAAACACCCTCTGATCAGGGTCGATCTCTGTTGAAACAGTCCCGATCACAAGCAGCTATGTTTCTTTATTCACCGGAGAAGAAAGGTAGTCAAGCATCTTCCGCTTTGCCTCCTGTTTCGATTCGCAAACAGCTCCCTCGTCATTTCCTGCTTCATCCATCTAGGGTTCGAATTACCCTCTCTTTGCGGTTTGATTT